TGAAGAAGAGCGATGTCCACATCAACACAGAATGAAGAGGATTACGTTCAAGAGAACGAAGCCCGATTTTCCCTAAGCCCGAATAAAGAAGGAAGCTGCCAAAAAGACTGTCGACACCAATATCTCCAAAATATACTATTACCAGATGCTGCCGACAACTTTAGTCCCCTCAAGTCACAATGCTGCCGACAAATATTGCCAAAATACACTATTGCAGGATGCTGCCAAGTCACTATTCACCAATAATGCTGCCAATCACTATTCACCTTTTCGTCACCTCAAGTCGCTGTGCAACCTTTACTGTGCTGCTTTTTGTCACCTCGAGTCACTGTGCCACCGACGAATCTTTTGAGATGGCATCCGTAATCATGAAGCCAAGTTAAGAATTTTTCAGGTCCGTGGCTTATAAAAAGGGGAAGAAGGGTAGAAGGGACGACATCTGAGTGCTCTCCCCCAGTAGCCTTCAGCTCTCTTCTCTCTCTACTCTATTTTCAGAGCTTTCTTCTCTCTCTACTATATTTTCAGAGCGCTCTTCTCTCTCTACTCTGCTTTCAGTGCTCTCGTCTCTCTCTGCTCTGCTTTCAGGGCTCTCTTCTTTTTCTGCTGTCTCAGAACTCTCTTTCTTTCTCTCTGAGCTCTCTAAGCTCTCTGTTGTTGCTTTCTCTGCAACCTGTGTCTCAGTCACTCTCTCGGCTCCTCGAAGTTTTTTTGCTCTTTCTCTCTCTGCTCCGCAAGATACAGAAGTTCTGCGCAGCTTTCAAAACCTTTATTTTCTCACCGCTCTGCTCTCCACTCTGTTCAGCTCTTAGTAAGCTCTCTCATCTCTCTGCTGTTGCTGCAACCCGTCTCTTTATTCTCCTTACTCTTTATATTCTCAGTCATCCTCTGTGCCTTCAAGCTATCTGTACTCAGTCATCAACATTACACCTTCCATAACCCTACCGTTACTCTGCTGAAACTAAATCTTTACCCTGTTACTATTCCTCTCACTGTCTCTTTATTTTTCACTATTATCTTCTCTTTCTTTCTTTCTACTGTATATCGGGTGGTGTATCCAACCACACCGAGTTTCTTTTCTATTGTAAAAGTGAGTGAATGTGTGATTGTAACCTAAATACTCTGCCGAGCTATTGCCCAGAAGAGTGGAAATTATTTTATTGCAAGTGTGTTATGTAAGTACTTTGTATAATCTTATGCAAGTTAAAGTGGTATTTTGTTTAAAAGTTAGGACTGCTACTTATGTCAATTGGTTTGTCATTGATATATCTCTCTGTTTACTTCTTATCTGTTTAGTCATTAGGGAAACAATTGAAGTATATAGGTCCATTACAAAGACTAGATTCAATTATTACTAGAAGGGAATCTGAAAATTTATTGTAGCGGCTATCTCTTAGGCATAGGAGAACAGAATTGTTTAAACCTAATGGAGTTAACGGTTTTATTGCTTTTTGTATGAGTCCTATGTGTAAATATTTATATTCTTTAGATATATGACTCTGAATCATTCGTTCAGATAAGAGTTGGAAACTTTCTTGTTCATTTGTAATAAATATAGTATGTTCTACTGTTTTAATAGCATAACTAGACTTGAACACAAATGTGCCCTTTTTATAGATATCAGTTATAGGAACTTTCGGTATCAGAGCGAATAGATTTTACAGTGGTGAACTGTAGTTGAAAATACTGTTCTAAAGGCTAAAAGCTTTATAAAATTTATCATTCAAGATAAGTCCGAGAATTGAAACTTAAAAGTCGTCGTGACCCGTATTGCCGAAAAAAGGCCAGGAAGAGCCACTAAAAAAGAAACATGGATTGTTTCCGACTGACTCAAGTATTCAAC